CTAGTATTAAAAAATTAAAATAAAAAAAACTAAAATAAAAAAAAATTAATTAATAAAAAGCTAAAATTAAAAAATAGTCTAAATAAAAACAGATAAAAAATTAATTAATAATTAAGCTTATATAGTACGCCCTTGGTAAAAGCAATCGGTAAATATTGGGGCAGCTGCGTTGATTCAGGTTGTTGCAGTAACCGAATAACAAAAAACTTCAGTCTGGAATCAATAAAAGCTGAAAACAATATCATCAAAAGTAAAATAATATTCTTCACACAACTTGAAAATCATTTATATGTATACAAAATCGAAATATGTATATTTCTTGTTTAAAAGGTGTTAAAAAAATTCGAAAATGTTCGTTTGTATTTTCTTTGAGGTTATATTTTTGTCGACGACCCACTCTCTCAGCTTTTGAACGGTGCTTTTTGCTGAAACCGAGTTCTCTTCATCCCTTTAAAGACAAAAACAAAAACCGAAATAAGGAAATACAATTTTTTAGTCGCTAATGTTAAACATTTGGGCATTGCTCTAACCGAGGGCATACTGTACCATAAGTGTTTTTGACAAATTTAAAAAACTCAAAAGAAGTTAAAAAAATATAAAATTTAAAAAAATTTTATAAACTAAAAAAATATTAAATAAAATTTAAAAAAATATCATAAATCTAAAAATAAAATAAATTAAAATATATAAAAATAATAAACAGAAATGAAAAAAAAAACATTACAATAGATATATGTAATAGGAGTGCGATATTTTGACAAATTTCGGCTATTGGTCTTTTGTTTATTTAACGTTTATTAATTTTGTATAAAAACTATACAACAAGCACCATTTAAATTCAGATTTCCAACTTCTTATTAAATTTTAAATTTTTAATCAGAATCTTTAGAAAAAATTGTGGTATGAAGTTTTGTTGCCCATTTAATTATAGTATAACAAAGCTCAAGTAATACTGTTTTTTGTTTTTTTTTTGCTGTCAATTAACTGCACCTCCTGACAAACGCTTGCA